TTTAGTAAATATTTTTTACTAAATAAATACATTATCTAGTTAAGAGGTATAGAGCTTTAATAAAATTATGAAATACTGATTTTAAAATTATGGAAAACTGTCAAACATAGAAACTGACTTTATTCTGTTAATTTTCCAAAATAAATGACCATTTCTCCATCACCCAGTCCCCCTTCCTTCGAGATGTGTGTGTGTGTTTGTGTGTGTGTTTGTACTTCACCTTTTCTGTGTGCTGATGAGGCACCTGTTCACGGCTGTGTTGATGTGTGTAATCTGATAATGCCATACACAGCTAGGACACCTGAGGCACACGGGTTGTGTATCACTGCGGTACAGAGAGTTCAGACCAGATTCCTCAGGGCCATGAAGACCTGAGCATCCAAAAGGCCGTTAAATGTGCCGATTGCATCAAAGAACTGCTTTTTTCAGGTCATAGGTAGACACAGGTTTCCTTGAACACTCTTATACCCAGTGGCCCATCTCGCACGACTTAATTTGCATGGCTGCACTGTTCCGCCCCGTGGAGGAACAGGCCCATTTCTGTAGCTATCTTTAACGTCTCATTCTATACTGGAGCTAAGTATGGATCAGGGTCAGAGTCTCAGGGTGGGCTAATGGAGATCTCTAGGCCTATGTGGGTGACTGAATATGTGTCAAAGTGAATGAGTGTATATGGAATTTTTTGAGTGAGGTGGGAATAAAGGCCCGTTCACACCAACAACAATCATTACAATGCTAACTATATCAGTATCCACACAAACGCAAAATAACTTTATTATAAGTGTGTGCCGCATTTGTGTCATCTGCCTCATCTACCTTTTAAGGAGGATGAATTATGATAGGCTGTCAGTGTTTTTTAATAATTCATCAGCTTGAAAAAAAAAACATTTTGGAAGTAATTCCAACAATCCTTCCTCTGGGCAGGTATTTTTATAGCCTTGTTGTGGTATGGACTCTGCTACTGTTTTACAGTTAGAACGATTTTTAAAACATTACCATTATCATTATAATTATTGTTCTTTGTGTGAACAGGCCCTGAGGCTGGTGGTGAAATGCCAAAAGGGCTGTACATTTTTAATTTTCATTTTACAATTTTAGTTTCAATTTCGGCTTCCAACGACTATGAAAACACAACAATCATGATTAAACAATTATTGTGCTTTATTCCGTTCCTCTCCTCTACAGCGGTGCGCTTCTGACACTCCATAAAAGCCCATAATTAACGTCCATATCAGTCAAATCATTTAAGTGACTATCGTAAAATGAAAAAGGGTTATTAAAAGCATATTAGGCTGTGAAAGAGTACTTACACTGTTCCTCAGACGGCTTTATACGTGCGCGCTCTGAGACTGAGGGAAACTCGAACAACCAAAATATAGCTTACTCATAGGGCTTCGGGTACGTGCCTAAATGGTCAAATATACACAAAAATAGTTAAAAAATGCTTGGTTTGGAGGGTATTCATGTAAATAGTCGGTTTGTAAACACATTCTTAAGGTAAATAATTTGAATGTGGGATGTGTATCAGTATATTGGATCCGTGCAGCGGGTCTTAAAGTCACAGTAGGCTACACTAATTAAACAAAAGAAAAAGAAAACCTCTTACTGTTCTTAACAGAATAACTTTTGTAGCTTTAATAAGAATCAAACTAATTCATGGAGTGAAGACTGTGCTTTTTATTATTTTACATTTGATTCATTTCTGTATTTGTCCATATTGATTGTAATTTGCTTCTTTGTTTGCGGTTTAGGCTACGTTTAACAACGTTTGAGGATTTTGAAATCGAGAATTGTGACATTTCAATGAGAATTCATTTTGGTATCTATAATTTTAAATAACCATGATTACAATATTAGATATTACAATATTATTATTTCCCCCCATAATCGAGTAGCTCTATGAATTCTGTGAATCTCTGGAATTTGAAACAGGCTCTAAAAATGACCACCGTAATGCTGCCACGCAAAGACGTGTAAAAAAAAACCATTCACCCATACAGTATATATTCACCCATGTTGTCTTCTTGCTCATGAAGCACACTCTGAGAGACACTGTGCCTGCAGTTTGACCATTGTGGTGGAGCAAGCGCAATCATAGGAACTGATCGATTTTGGAGAACAACGATGGAATGGAACTAGGATGTGACAAAATCAGGGAGTTTCCTGCATGTGATCATCAGTGGGATGCCATGGTTCTCGACATGTTTGCATTTTACAAAATGTTTCTATGTTGCGAAAGCAGATGACATTCTGTAAAGATCCTTTGTAATCATTTGTGTGATCATTGTTCACATACAGCTGTTATCATACGTCCACATACACTCTTAAAAATAAAGGTGCTTCACGATGCCATAGAAGAACCTTTTTGTCTAAATGGTTCCATAAAGAACTTTTAACATCTGAAGAACCTTTCTGTTTCACAAAAGGTTCTTTGTGGCGAAAGAAGTTTCTTCAGATTACAAAAAGGTAAGAAAGAGATGGTTCTTTAAAAAACCTTTGACTAAATGGTTCTTTGTGGAACTAAAAATGGTTCTTCTACGCTTGAAGAACCTTTTGAAGCACCTTTATTTTTAAGAGTGTACCCCTTGCAGAATCCTTAAGATGATTAGTTTCTTTCGAAAATAAACAATAAAAATAATGTATAATTTATTTAGTGACATATATAAAAAAATATACCACAAGACAAAAATACTACAATTTGCAATTTTTTTTTTATAAATAAATAAAACAGAAACTACAAATGGTCAACACAACATATAAGGAACCAAGTAAACTGAACTTTTAAACAGGATAATTTGTGTAAATTCAGTTAATATTTTGTCTGAAAAGTTTTGTGAAAGCATTCATTTTGATATCATGTCGAACTAAATCACAGGTTTTCAACTCTAAGAAAAAAAGGTACAAAGCTGTCACTGGGACAGGACCCTAAGGTATCAAATCTAAAAGGTACATCTTTGGTCCTTATTTACCCCTAAATGGTACGGGGAGGCTGTCTCACCTGTTCATCTCTTGGACTTGCTCTGTCAGTTCACTGTGAGGAGACGGTCAGGGAAGGAGCCGGGGAGCTAAACTCTCAGGTCGTATAATATCTTTTGTTGTTGTTGTTGTTGGATATTGACTAATAACTGGACAGAAATGCAGAGTTAAGCTTTAGAACTTAGTGTTTAGGGATGTTTTGTATGTGTTTGTACTGTATGTGGACATTTAGCAGTGAGTTTGGACCAGTTGTTGTTCTTATATTGAGTACTGTTATGAATATTTATCTTTTGACATGCATAAAGCTTTGTGTAATGTAAATCTGTTAAAATGTAGCAGACATAAACAAATGATATGTGTACTGTAGCTAGTACAAAATTTTAATTATATTGAGAAATACTATCATATTATAAACCTAACATGTATTTCTTATAAATACTACTGAAAATATATAGTAAAGTTATTATTATTATCATTATTATATGTATATATCATTACACATATTGAAACATATATACTGTATATTGTGACATGCAATTAAAAAAATATATAATTTAAATTAAGTAAAAAAAACAAAAACAAAAAAAACTATAATAATTGGAGCATTTAAAAGAAACATATTTTTTAAGTGTGTGTGTGTGTATATATATATA